AGCTCCACAGTGGTGCTACTACCTGCTCTTGCTCGAGTAAAATATGGCTAGAGCCTTTAGATAAGAGAACACAGTGGTAAAGAACAATGAGCTATGACACGCAATACGGTAGACTGGATCCAAATGATGGAGGTAGAGTCGAAAATATAATAAAGAGGGCTGTTTGTTGGAATGAAAAGTGAATCAAAAAAGACTAAACTGTTAAGAAACGTTAATAGCTATATTCCTTATTGTCTGGTTTTAAATCCTCTTTATTATCTGACGCCAACCACTAGGTAATAATATAAAAATTTGAGTAAGTATGTGATAGTCTATCTCAGTAGGATAGTGGATTAAATATAAAACTGGAAACATGAGCCTAAGTTGTGAGCATAGGGGAACAATACCAGTAGCATTGAGGGGTCTCATTTTCCTCTGAAACGAACAAAATGTTCCGCCCTTTAAATATGAGTGGATTGGAGTAAACGCCTTCACCATCAGCAGGTTCACTCTTCTTCCTTTTATGGTGTTAGATTCATTAAAGGCTTATTTGTGGGTGACACGTTATATCTCTTAATTCACTATGTTAATTTCGCTGTGTATGATCGAATGCATGTCTTTACATTAACACTTAAGTTATCCTCCTATTGGTTGCAATGTGCGGATAATTTATCCACACCCTATTAACTCTCAAATATATATATATATATATATATATATATATATATATATATATATATATATATATATATATATGGATTTTTAACACACACACACTCTGTTTCATCGTGTGCTTGCTAGCTGTACGCTTACGGATTTTTATTAATAATTAACAATAAATTATCTCTACAACTGGTGTTCAGGCTTCTCAATAATCTCGAGTAAATCCGTAATTCTACTAGGAGATTAAGCCTACCTTAAATACTCAGTTTACGGGATATTATTTATTGGGGTCAGATATTAAGGACATTAGCCTCAACATGTGTTACTCTACGTTTCACATCCTGTTGTGATGCATTATTTCTAAAATCACAATTTTACAAGCCTATCAGGCATTTGCAAATTATGAATTGTGGCTAATGCATCGATGTAATTCTTTAGGTGAATATGGAATAAATTATGGGTATCTAAACAAGGTATGATAAATTTTTAATTAAAGTGAAAAGGTTTAGGAACACAATAGTCATAAATAAGACAATAGGTAATTAATAAACGTTAATAGTAAGTCAGCAAACTGTACGTGAAAGTAGTAGGCTGATGTCAAATAAACGTGAAGGAACTTACATCAGCTTGGTGCTGATGAGATTTTGTGCTATCCTAAACAAAGCAGTCTAAGGAAGGTTTAAATTGAGTAAGCGTTTGATTCGACCGGTTGTTTAGTGGTAACCTATTCCAGAGGCTTGATTTGTGTGCGGAAAATAAAGTTAATCTTAATTTGCTTGGTGTTCCTTATATCTTATGCGTAAAGTCCTGATTTTGAAGGTTATAATAAATATTTTCCTCAAATTTTAGCGTATCACAATTCACTGCAGTTTTGTTACAGAAAATTTTTAAAAGTAAGGTATGGATGCGTTTAATTCTTTTATACCATAAAGGATTTCATTTTCGTGCTCCATATACTTAACATAATAGTTCTGGCTTGAGGAGTCTTGTAAGGTGTCGTACTTTTACAATTTTTTGCCGGTCTAGAGAACGTATGCAAACGGGCAGTATTCTAGTAGGGGACGAACACGTACCATATGTAGAACCAGGCCCATTGCGACAGGGAGGTACAATTTACACTGATAATACCGGATCCCTACAGTCACACCCTAATTTCAGAATCTTCTGAATGTTGAATGCGTATTTAGGTGTAAATATTCCTGGCCGGACGAGCATCGTACTGTAAATGAAGGAAGCTCAGACCATGAAGCACCAAGCCGTGACTGGAATGGAGTATCTACAATATTGTATTTGCGTAAACTACACGTAAGATAAGCGTCGAGTTTTCTTCAGAATTACGGGCTATAATCCTTTTCATTCCCTGGAAATTAGTATCTTCGTTAATGAATAATAGCTGGTGCTTGAAGAGGCCACCCATGTTGTCACTGAGAAATGAACCCTGATAGACGCTCATGTGCTCTGTGAGGGTCGAATAATTCTAATACCTAGCATACTGTCAAATATGCCTATCATCAGTCTTAGGTTTTTACGAGTTGGTCGGTCGCTTTTTAACAAGGCACGTCGTTCTCAGATAGTAATGCGATGCATAAAACCACTGGTTGTGCATCTTACCTAGATGATGAATTTGGTTTGTTTATAATTTCAACCTCTATTTATAGACTTAGTTTTTACTCTTAGTTCGTTTCTTTTCTTTCTGAGTTTAGTAGACCTACATTTGAAGAGGGGTATTCTTATGGGCTTGGAAGCTCCTATTTGGCTGTGAGACTTCCTTGGTCCTTAGATTGTTTGGTTCAGAACAGTAAATTTGTTGACGATATGCATTTCAGTGATCTTGAAAACTCGAATGTAACTATATGTACGGGTAACAGACTTGTGCAATAACCTTAACTAGGCAAAATAAGTGGCTGCTTTTACCGGCTGTGGTTGTCACTAACCCGCTCAACTGCAGTCGCTCTTCAAGATGGACGTCTTAGGTCTGAGAAAATTTCAGGGACGTTTCTACGTCCATATTCTGGAGCCTACAATAATGGGAGTTGCCATGTCTTACATATGCTAAAGTGATGGATGCAAATCAAGATTGAATGAGTCAAATGGACAGAAAACGGAAAAGAAAATGACTATTTATTATATCATATCAAGTTTCGTTCTTGATGAGTAAAGTTTATTGATGCTAGTTTTTTGGGTCGTGCGAAACCAGAACACCGTTAGTTTTTGTCTCGTGATCAAATTTAAGGATTCAGCCAGAAAACCCTGTAACCTTGCGGCTTATTCAGCCGACGTTTCTTGTAAATTTAACTATGTGACCTCGTCTGCTTGCTCATTTGGTGATTCAATTTTAAGAGTCAATCCAGGTTTCTTAGAGCAAGCATACAAAACTTGTCTTATTAACGTCTGTTTTAGTTGTTGCCAGATCTGCGTCCGCCACCTCGTTACTTCGTCTTATCGGTGGCTGAAAAGTCAATAGGCGAAATCTGCTTATTTAACTTGGTTTTATTCCGAAAAATGAAGCCGATTTGAACAACAGTTACCATCAGAATTCTTATATCTAACGTTAAATAACTGTTTTTATTGGTTGCAACCTGCATAAAGGTTTCGCATTTCTCGTGTTCTCTAATGTTTATTTAGGGTTAGCCGCACTTTAGACTAACCTTTCAGTGACAGTTGATGATGTTTTGACCTGACCTTTATTCCATCTTCTGAACTTGAGCACTTAAGTAGCAGTCTCTGCAAAACCTTCGTAATTGGCAATGAATTAAGTCATAAATGAGTCTTTCGGTAACTCTACACTGTGTTTGCAATGAACTGCAGGATATACCAAATAAGGTAGAGAAGGAGTTTGGTTATATGGTTTCAAACTGTTCTGAAAGCGATGAAGGCTAAATCGAAACCAATCGTGATTAAAAAACGCTCTGCACACTATGTTTTCGTCCGTCAAAACTTAGTGTAGCAAGAACTGATATGGTGATTTACTAAACTACCACTAATTACAGTTTGCACTTGAAAGAGTTTGAGAACACCCCAACTGTCCAACAAAACATGGGATTCCTTATCACATACTTGACACACACTGAGTTGCCGGAAATCTTCTCTCAGACTTCCATAGTAGGTAACAAATCTTTGTACCATACACCTAATTTAATATCTGCAGTTCAAATAATGATCTGTCTGAGCGAACTAAAGTATAGGGTCAATCCAACAGTATATCAAGAATCTCGATTTCATAATTACAGCCGTGTATATCTCTGCAGTGAGACGCTATGATTTGTTTGCTGACTGTCTTTTTGCACCGTGTCTGACATCAAATGAAGTACAATAAATGTCACTATGAGAATTTGACCGGAAACCTGTATTTACCAGTGGCCTAGGGGCTGCGTCGTAGTGAGAGTTGTGTATGGATATAAATAACATCATAAGAAATTGCAGAAGATTGATGTGATAGTAAATATATAAACACTGTGATCGGAAAAAGTATGAAGTAATGCATTAAGTGGCTCCGAACTCATTGTGATGCCTTTATTCTTGTAATAGGTTAAGTCGAGTGATGTTTATCTGCAAGCTGGGCCAAATATGTTCGTAGAAATTCTTGGTTCTAGTCTTTAATTAGCCTATGGTCTTAACTACTCATATGTTTTCCCCTGCTCTGATAAATAATTTGGAACTTTCAGTTGGTCGCCAGTGTATTCTTTCATGGATTAGGCGAACCAACCAATGGGTTGTGTTCCGACATCCATGAGTGTAGCTACCCACTAGTTCCTGAAGATTGTAGGCAGAAAATTTTGATTTTTCAAAACCTTAAATTCTGACTTACCACAAACATGAGGATGATACAGGTATTCAGTGTTTGACAACGCTTCTACCAGTAACACCTTCTAATATGCTTTGTTCCCACCGAGAGAAATCAAAAGACAGAGTCGAGGAGATCGGAAGAGTGTATTTGGCGATAACCAATATGTCGGGAATCTCTGATCTAATCTGGCTAGTGATTGCGGTTGATGTTCAGTGCAGCGTTACAACACGTGATCTGGTGCAGATGCATGACCGAGCGCCTTCAGCTAGATGAGTCCACTAAAACATATGGTCAGCATCCAATGTCGAAAACCTACAGAGTTATTTAGTTTGATGATTTATTTACCGCTACAAGGCTAATGAGGCCAGAATCAGTCTTGGAGACTTACGAAACTACTTATATCGAGGATTTATATACCTAAACAGCCCACCAACCTTACAAGTTTATTCATATTTTAAGTTTTTTCGCGTTATTGCAGTGTCTGATTCTGCAAAGCTTAGGATGAAGGTCCAGAAATGATATTCGGAGGCTAAGTTTCTGATATTCGTACAACTTGTACACTTCTCAATTTGTCACAATGTTTGTTTAATCCGGCGATGCGTGAACGGTGTTTCAACAGACATTTGAGTATGTATTTGTTAAATTTACATATATAAAGTAATTCATAAGTAACCAATCTCATCCTATATCGCGATACGAGACTTTTTATGTGACATACTTTTCACGTCATACGTACAATACTTGTGTTTGACTAAGCTTGGATGTTTCGCTACTTGATTTGGTACCCTAAGTCTTGTAAGGCCTGAATGACATTTCTGGTGTTTAGATGTCTCCAACTCCTCCATCCAAACGACAAAAAATACTGACCTCTACAGAAAACAACAATAACAATTTTCATTCAAATACCAACAACAACTTGTCAAACGTAAGTTGTAAGCTAGAATCATGTAATTCTTTTACAGGGGATGGAAGCTAACGGAGAAGTTCCTGATTTGGACGAAAGTCTTTATAGTCGTCAGCTTTATGTCTACGGGGCCGAAGGCATGCGCCGAATGGCAACAACAGACATTCTAGTTATTGGCCTGGAAGGACTTGGGCTCGAGGTCGCCAAAAATATAATTTTGGCTGGAGTTAAATCTGTAACGTTGTGTGATGACACTCCATTATGTATAGCTGACCTCACATCTCACTACTTTGCGGACCTTAATGACATAGGTCATCCACGTGCTGAAATTTGTAAGAATAAGTTAAGCGAGTTGAATAATCATGTGTCTGTCCGCGTGTTAAACAAACATAAACTTGGTGCTGAAGACTTTAGGAATTTTAGTGTAGTGGTGCTAAACCAGGGATCTGAGGACCTGTGTGTGGAGTATGGAGACATTTGTCGGAGTTTGGGTGTCAAATTCGTCGTTGCTTCAACATGCGGACTTTTTGGCAAAGTGTTTTGTGACTTTGGGACAGATTTTGTAGTGTATGACCCAACTGGTGAAGTTCCATCTTCAGTCATGATTCAGCAAATAGAGAAGGTAAAGTGTTTCCTCATGAAAATATTGTCTAGAGCAAACAAGGACTTGTAACTTGTTTGGAGGAGACTCGTCATGGGTTTCAGGACGGCGACTATGTAACTTTTTCTGAAGTAAAAGGGATGGTGGAGTTAAACGGTTGTCAACCCCGAAGAGTAACAGTTGTTGGTAAGTATCGTTTCTGCATATGATTTAATTTTCTAGGACCTGATGTATTTTCCATTGGTGACACGTCTAATTTTAATCCATACATATCTGGTGGGATGTGTACTCTTGTTAAAATGCCATTAAAAATCAACTTTGTAAGTCTCATATATCTTAGTACTATTTCTTTGCAGCTACCTTATCGGACAGCCTATTATTCCCCAATTTTCATGACGACAGATTTCGTTAAAACTGAGCGTCCCGCACAGATTCATCTCTTCTTTAAGGCCCTCAGTGATTATAAGAATAGCAACGGATCTCTTCCTAAACCTTGGTGCAGGACTGATTCCCGTACTTTTGTGGACTATGTCCATAAAGTCAATAAACAAGTGGAAAGCACAAACGCTTCAGTCTCATCAATCGATGAAAAACTAGCTACGCTCTTTGGATGCGTTTGTTCAGGTCAATGTTCCCCCGTCTTGGTATGCCATTAGTTTGATTTGATTTAATTTATGTAGTCTTTTATAGGCAGTTTCGCTGCCCAAGAAGTTATGAAGGCTTGCAGCGGTAAGTTCACGCCGCTGCAACAGTGGATGTATTTCGATGCAACTGAGTGCCTCTGGATGAGTTCAGATGAAGATTTCGTAGTCTCAGAGAATGATGCAAAACCAATTGGATCTCGTTATGATGGTCAGATTGCCATATTCGGACGTGCGTTTCAAGAGAAGCTGAAAGGATTGAAGTATTTTATTGTAAGCTTTACTTACTTCATATAACTACGTTTACAGGTTGGTTCAGGTGCAATTGGATGTGAGCTGCTAAAAAACTTCGCGTTGATGGGTGTTGGTGCAGGACCGTCTGGAAAAATTGTTGTGACGGACATGGATCTCATCGAAAGATCAAACCTAAACAGACAGTTCCTGTTTCGTCCATGGGATATCCATAAAATGAAGTCAGTCGTGGCATCAGCCGCTGCTAAATTGATAAATCCAGAGGTTGGTCGTATCGTTTGACTTTTATAACGCAGTAATTAGCTTTCCACCATAGTATTCTTATAATGACTGTTACCGCCCGTCATATATCGCATGGAATGTGAATCGTTTGGTACTTTAGCTTCCATTGCATTAAAGCCTTGATGGGTTACAAGTTAAAACATTTTAGCAAAAATATCTTATGAATATTAAAATTATGATTGAATTAACTAAAACAGCATCACAATTCGAAATGTGATGTTCAGTTACCATAAATGTCACTCTGATTTTATGAAAGACTCGTTATTCTGTCGGGTACAGAACACAGGAATTTTTTAATCCAAATTCACGTTTGGGATATCTGGCTGAATGTTTCGTGGTAAACATACAGTCAGATAGTCAGCCACAACGTAGGACCAGGCACATATATCCATCAGTCCAAGTTGCCATAACTCATTAGCACATAAAAATGAAAACCGGATTCAGCAGTTAACGCAATTATAGTAATATATGAAGGATTTTATGTAAGGATATAGTGTAGTAAGAAAGAAATAGTTGGTAGAAAGATGTGAAGCGATTTTAATCTCATACTTTAAGGGAAGATATAGAGTGTATACGCTTACGCGATTGTAATCGATTCTGAGCCATGCCACCCAGAGTCTAATCACTGGTTATGGTAGTGGCGCGGACCCCAACTAAGTAGTCTCCACTTACCAACATAGATAAAAGTTAGTGACTACATAGACTGATGCCACGTCTTGGTTTGGCCGCTCCCAACCGTCTCCAACACTAGTCAGCACTGCGCATCGTGGTGATCAGTAATTAGGCATACGTAACACGGCCCAACTATGTCAGTCGATGAGGATTCACAACCTCATCAACTGATTCACCATAATTCCCTAATACTATGCGGCTAACTCCACCATTACTTACCCGATGATCCCAGCAGATGCTGGCAAGGTTTCGAAAGTATATGTGGTGTGGTAAACATACAGCAGTCTGTCATTGACAGGTGTTCCAAAGAAGTACATTAACCTTGTACAGGCTCTCTACTCGAACACTACTGGTCGAGTCAGAGCTTATGGCAAACTGTCATCGAAACTGGCTACTTTAAGTGGTGTGCGTTAGGGTTGTCCATTTTCCCCATTTTTATATAACTTTTTCATAGACATGTTTTCAAAGATAACACTTTCATCTTAACGCAATCGTTAAGAAAGGTTATCTTCGCATTCACTTCTGGAAGTGAATGTCAAACACTTTCATCGTCTAACTTTACACAGGTTGATGTTTTACGAGTAGATTTACTTAATGACTTTGAATACACAGATGATGTAGTTGTGTTCGGTGAATGTAGTCTTTTGACCATGTTCAGCAACAACCAAAGGACGAGTTTACTGTGCAGCGGTTCGCTCCATTCTACTTTGAGGATGTGAAATATGGTGATTAAGAATAGAGGATATTCGTAGGTTACAGGTATTCGATTATTAGATCAGAGGTGTCTTGAAAGTATTGTACGTGTGTTTTTGAACCATAAAGTAAGCAGTGCTTGTATTAGGAATAAGGTATTAGGTAATGATGAGAAATCAATTAGAGGTAGTAAATCTTCATCAACCAAGGTAGTTGGGACGTGTGTTATGTATGCTGAACCACTGCCTATCTCGATAGGGGTTATTTTCTGGTGTTGAAGTAGGCTGGAAGGAAGCTAGAAGTGACCAAACTACAACATGACATCAGTCCATGAAGTTACTGACAATTGGATTTAGCCATGTTAATAGGCATAGACTATCTGTTAAGGGTCCGCTTATCTATCATAACCACTGGTTAGAGATTTTAAATGAAATTGCTCGAAATCGTTTGCAGTGGTGCAGGTGCACCCGTTCTTTGTCTTCCTTCAAGTTCTGAGGTTCTAAAGTCCTTCATACCTTTTTATTTTACTGATATATATTTTCCTCTCGAATCGTATCTTCGATGCATAATATACTACAACTGACTGTTATTACCTCCACTATTCTGGGATTTTGTCTGACAATTTCATCTCTGTGCTAATGAGGTATGGCAGCTTGAACCGATGTACATACGTGTAGGTTCTACATTGTGACTGATTGACTGACTAGTCATTTCAACGCTAACATGTTTTATGTAGGGGTTTTGTAGAGATTGTAGAATTTCCATAGAACAAACCACGAACTGATCTTAGTTAAGCCACCATTGAGACTTTGAACAGCTGTTTCGTCTTATTGTGGGACTCATACACAATGTGCATGCACAATCCTGCCACGGAGGATCAAATATAGAGTCGGCCTCACGTGAAAACGCCCTCTAAACCACTGAACTGTCCAATCCGTCCCTTAAGAAATCTACCGGTTTCGGTTCGGGTATTCGGGCAGTATCCCAGCCCACACAAATTCAATGATTTGTGTAGCACATGTATATTTTGGTCCCTCATTCGTAAAAATGTGTTTAATTAAATAATATCCACCGACAGACTACATGACTGAATGTCGTCATTAGTTCAACTCCGAAAAGTCAAATAGGGTTTAGCGAAAGCAAAAAAACGGGTTTGAAAAATGCCTGTCACCGAAATCTCATCTGTATTAATGTCTTAATTACTGATGAAATCTTGGCGCGATTACTAAGGATTTTTATAATTGTATCTATGTAAATTATAATATATCGCACCTCATATTCCTGCCAAATCTTACGTTGACTCTGTATGATACTGTTAGGAGCTATAATCAGTACTGGCATCGTTACAAACTAGACAACTCTTCATGGTCCGTCGGAAAGTTTATAAGACTTTTTTGATCTGCTTTTATCCGCTACTGTGTAGAAATATTTTAATCTTAAACAGATGGGAATTGCTTGCCATTTCCGTTATTTTTATATTTCCTAATATAGTACTGTAGAAGCATGTTATATTTATCACGATATAGACCCAAGCAAAGTTTTCTACGGTTGGCTTATCCATTTGATAATTTTTTGAACGTCAGGGTTGTGATGTATACGAATTAATGACGATGCGTATTTATTTTATTCTAGCTTAATATTGAAGCTCATGAGAATCGTGTTGGACCGGAGACGGAGAAAATATATGACGACGAATTCTTCGAAAAATTGGATGGAATCGCTAATGCGTTAGACAACGTTGAGGCCCGCACTTATGTTGATCGTCGTTGTGTTTATTATCGCAAACCTCTTTTAGAATCCGGAACCCTGGGAACTAAGGGTAATGTACAAGTTGTTATCCCTTATTTGACAGAATCTTACTCATCTTCACAAGTAAGCTAAACAGTTATAACTTTTTATGAAACATGTAAATGGTCAATTAACGTTAAAGCAGTAATCTGTACTTCTGATCAAAATATATGCTGTATGTATACTAATAATAAAGCGGTAGCATAAATACTTGAATTTAAAACATGAGGTCACTTATTGAGATCCTGAAGTATCTACTTCGATTTGAACAGCTGATTGGCATAACCAGCTCTTGTATTTCAATACTGATCAAACTAACTTGTATCGATGAATAAGTTACATTGCTAATAATGTTACTGCTGAGTGACTTGATATTATGTAGAGGTCTATTTTGAGACTAGCTTCGTAAGATCGATTATAAAGGATGTATATAAATAATCCATTTAATTTTTGTTATATCCCGACAAGAATTACGAATGGTAGACTTAAGAACTACTTATGGACCAATACGATACATATATTTTTATTGTATAACTGTTAAATAGCTAAGCTATGATATTCATGTTCCTCTTATTATACGCTTTATTTTGACCATTATTATTACTATTGTTATTATTACCATTATTATTATTATTATTATTATTATTATTATTATTATTATTATTATTATTATTATTATTATTATTATTATTATTATTATATTTACCGTTCTGGTTATGCCCAGTCTATTAATTAAAGTCTTCCACATTTGCAGCCACTTTTGGCTAGATCTTGTACAAATAGTGTTTTCCATTTTGTGGTACGATGTGGTCTGCTTGGTTTTTATATAAACCCAGTATGTTTGAAATACATGATTCATATCGCAGAGGTTGAGGTTAGTGTTCTGGATACTAACAGGCAGCGCTGGACAGGGAGAAGGACTGTTAGGCACTCTAGACTGCTAGTATAGGTTTACTCGTCATTGGTCCGGTCGATAAATCGCTGTTCTTCAATTGACAGTATCATTACGTTATACATTAATAGTGCAGAAGACCACATGCTATAACAATTGTCAATGAAGTTCGAAGTCTAGCAACAAGTTTCTGAGGTTGTACTTCTAAATTTGTGCTATTGTAGAACAAATATTGAAGAAGCTAGTTTTACACTAGACTGATTAGTTTTACGAAACCCTTCATCTTTCTTAAGCTTGAGTTTATTTATCGTTCATCCTTTAATTAACCTGAATAGTTAATCTTGAAAGTTGGTACAACGAATCATCAGGATACTTTTAACACTGATATTGGCGTTATACAAATTTAGAAACTTACCAGATATATGCAAATAGAAAATAGTCTAGTCGAAAATAGCTGTTAGTGAACTCACTTTACTTTTCAGTTAGTCTTGAATTCTTGGTAGTGGTCTTACTTTGTTAATGTTAAAATAAAAGAGGTTCTCGGCGTGTGACTCCCAGTGTTTGTTTCTCGTTTTACAGGACCCTCCAGAAAAATCATTCCCTGCGTGCACTCTGAAAAACTTCCCTTATCTGATTGAGCATACCCTTCAGTGGGCACGCGATCTGTTTGAAGGACTTTTCGTCCACCAGTCACAAGCAATGAGTTCGTTTTTACAGGTTAGTTATTCATTACGTTTGCAAAATACTGGGAACACTTGTTGTCGAAAATGTCTTGATCTATATGTCCTAAAACTATCGTTCTACTCATGATGACATATATTTGTTTATATTTCATACCGGTTAAATTTTGTGTGGCAAAATCCTATTCATATAAGTTCCGTTCGTTACGGTCCTTCAATTTAACCAATTAACCTATGACTCGTTTAGTGTGAACTGAACTCATAGGAACTACATTTCAAGTGACTGGTAAGCTGATAAAGTATCTATTCAGATCTGTGTGTTTAATATTGTTTAGAAAACAATATACTATTTATTTGATGAAGCAGGGAAGAAACTTGGGATAGATGATATCATAAAAGGCCTGAACCCACTTTTGATGATGAACCATTAGAAGTAATCAAGTTCATGGGTCTGAGTAGTTTTGGTGATTGTAGTGGAGTGAAAAATTGGACCAACCTACGTGAAGTGGGATCCAGAGCACCTTATTTCACTGTGGACAAACGTTGGCGCCGTCCTGATGTTAGCCTGACGGTAAATAGTTGTGCCCAGTGCGTTGACAAGGACGTTTATTTTCTGTGGTTGTTAGACAGCCTCTCCGAGTTGAGGATGTTCGGCAGTTATGTTCGATCATTTTGATCTCCAGAGGGCTACCCACTTGCGTTGGTAACCATGTCACTCAAAATGAGATCGCCAAGTGTATATTTAAAAGCATTGACGCTAGTTCAATTGATGCAAGTATGCTGAAACACCGACTTCGACAGCGTGTTCATGGTTTAAGAATATTATCCCAATTACTTCCATATTGTGCATCACTTGTCATCTGTGGAGCTGGGTGATGAAAACAGGCTTTCATTTCATGAAATAGCGTTTTGCTAATAAAAATTGCTGCATTAGAGTGGAATCTAGACCTATCACCACTGGGTCGTCCCTTAAAGGTCATGTACCGTAAGACGTCTAATATATTTCACAATATAAGCTAATGGGGATCCGGTTGTGGTTTTTATTATATTGTTAAAAATTAAGAATTTCTTCACTAAATGAAGTTTCTTAGTCTTGGTTTTCAACTGAGCAATATTTCTGACTAAATCTTGTTCTTGGTTAGTTATTGATTGTACTGCCCTTCTCGAATTTATTTCTTCGCAGCTTTCTCACTGCATTCACGTAACACACTTTATTGGCCTGTTTTACTAGGATTTGTTTCTCGAAATCAATGGAGTCAAAAGTTTCTTTGTCTAGGATACAGTGTGATGTCTGAGTATTTGTCACATGTATCATGTAATAGTTTGTGTTGACGAGTTAGTACTTGAGTATCAATTTGATTTTCAAGAAACAACTGCGCTATGTTGGGATAATGACATATAATATCAGTCATTTGTGGATTCATATTTTCTACGTGTATAGGTCCTTTAATGGCCTTGATAAATGATTATCCATCTAGTTTAAGTCTGCTTCATCCGCCGTAAACTGATCAACTGTATAATATAATTACTAATTATGAACCAGACAGTTTGTAAGTTTGCTGTGCTCTTCAATTTTTATATTTTTCTTATTCAGAACACATAAGAACATAGTAACCAATGAGGATTTGAATAATGTAAGAAATGATTTCCTTTAATCTGAAAATGAGTACATCTATAGGAGTAAAATATTGTAATAGTAATACACCAACCATGAAAATAAACTAGAATTCTTCCAGTCATGGTATTTTCACACCAGGTTTTTGCTGCCTTCATGCAATCAATATATAAACTGGAAAAAATTTGTTTGGAACAATAATTGAAGTCTTGTACCTGCTAATCCTGTCCTTATTTATTCACCTTTTAGGATCCGCCTGGCTTTTTAGAACGAACATTATCAAATCAAGGAAATCAACCTTTGGAAACACTAGAAACTTTGAAAACAAATTTATTAGACAAAAGACCAAGTAGTTTCGAAGATTGTGTCACTTGGGCTAGATTACTCTGGCAGGTAAGTGCGAAAATCTGATATGTCTTTATCAAATTTTCATTCATTGTTTGCTTGTCGTACCTCATAACTTCAGTATTTCACCTATACTAATGATCTAAATGATCCTGTGACTAATTATGGATTAAATTAGCTCCAGCTTGATCTATCTAGCTATGGTTTCCACCGTTCCAATTTTCTTGATTTTGGAAGTTATATTTCTGCTGCCCTAGTAGCAATTTCCTCAAGAGGTATTTCTGATTTGTTGGTTAATATGACAAATAAACCAGAAATGTGTAACAACAGTACAGTGTCTTTAAATCGTTTGATTGTTAATGAATTCATTCTCAATATTTCTCACGTGGTTGCTGAATAAGTCTCGAGCGTTTCGATTTCAATGGCTCTTTTCCGAAGTAACAAACATACCTGCCTGGTGTTTTGCTCGCATTACTTTTTCAGGCTCCAATTTGAAACGTTTACCATGATTTTAGAAATATCTAAAACAGCTACTTAAGGAGAGTGCTGTTCATCGAGGTAAGCGCTCTCTACAACAATTCAATGGAATCGTGTATACCACGTTAGAGGGAAACTAATTATTTGATTAAGGCACTTGTAGTAGTTTAGCTAGTGGATGGTTGGGAACTCTACTTGCATTTGGTGGAATTTCATTTTCTGACCTGGATGGTTTGGTTGCGGAGGTCAGCGTTCTTTTAAACAACATCAGCACAAACTTCATGTCGATCAAACCATCCAGTTAAGAGAACGAAACCCCACCAAAATCATTCGTCTGGGCTATAAATCTTCACCATTTCAACTCTGCTTACATTTTGTTTAAAACCTACATTTTTGTACAGTTTGACATAACGATCCATCTTATCATTACAGTTAAAATCTTCAGCTAAGGTGGTTCTATCTTCACTACAAGTATGGGTTCATAAAGCATTTATTTTTATTATATTCCTTTGAAGTATTCATATCGTTCGGATAAACACTAGGTTTGTTCAACTTCCTGTAGAGTATACTAATCTGTACTTGATACAATCTAATTCCATCACAGTGTAAAATCTCAGCCTTACGATTATTTTAATACATAGAGTAAATATACTAGAGCGCTTGAAGCCGTCGGCTATTCAATATTCTACAATTAACTAGTGAATTTCTTTTAGGATTTGTTTTCAAACACAATCGCACAACTTTTGTTCAATTTCCCTCGCGACCATGTCACTTCAACTGGTTCTGATTTTTGGTCAGGAACCAAACGATGCCCTCATCCATTGCAGTTTGATGTACAAGATGTAAGTTTTTCTTTTGAGTTTGTCCGAATTAAATTTGTTTTTACTCGAGTTCAGAAACATTAGTGTATGCAGTGAAAGAAAGCATGCATCAATTCACTTCACAAATGACTTTTTTCGTTTATTTCCGGTTACTCATTGTTATAACCGAATTTCTAGTAATCGTTTATTCTAGGGTTAGGAAATTTTTCTCAACCAATTATCTGTCATTACTTGTATCTTAATGCTAGTCCATGTATCTATGATTAGTGCTTGAAAAGCTTAGCTGGTGAATAATTGCTTCTCATATTACATGCGGCTGGAAAACGAACACGACCGTTTGAGCATGGGTGCCAAAAATGTATAAGAATTTTTGAAAGACTTCTGTTAGTTAGTATGTGTGATAGCTAATCAACGAAAACATTGAACAAAATGCTTGTTCATCCCACAACTAAATAAAAATCGTTTAGACTATGTTGTTTTATAGCAATATATGCAGAATAACTTCTGTCTATAACATTTAAACCAAACAAATTCATTACTGTTTACCAACCTTCTAGATGGTTAAGTAATGTCAATAATACCCTCAAAATGCGATTAGGCGATAGCTTTACGTCTAATAATGTACATGGTTGCTAAGTTACATTACGTTACACTGTTTTTGAAGTTCACGAACAGCTGGGTTTTCGATATTTGGCGTGCAGTTTGAACCACAAACTTCTTTAACCAATTTCACCATAAGGACCCACAGTTCGTAAAAACTCTCGAATTGCATATTTGATATTTTAATTACAGACAACACATCTGGAGTTTATTTCGGCGGCTTCAAACCTTCGCGCTGAATGCTATGGCATCCCTCAATGTCGAAACCTGTCCAAGATTTCCGAAATTGTTCAAAGTGTAGTTGTCCCTCCGTTTGTTCCTCGATCAGGCGTACGGATTGATGTAACCGAGGCAGAGGCTCAAGCAAGGTCAGCTGCACCTATAACTGATACATCTCGACTTGAAAAACTTCAGAAAGCTTTACGTAGCTTCAGTAAGTGCTTCACTATGTGCCAGCTACAAAAAGCACCTATTTTTGTTTTCCTATTATTCTCCAGTATTTATTTTTTACATATTGTGAAATACAGGTGTTTTTTTTCTAAATGATTGACCAGTCTAACTTTAACCATTTTATATTTTGAATGCGTCCCATTTCTAGCTCAATAAAAAAGTGATTTGATGCGTTGGGCGATATGGTCCAAAATAGTTAGCATAAGCGTAGGTGTTCCAATTCTACATTAACATTTTCTTATTTGCTCTGCCCTTTCCTATACCCCTTATTATTCAAATATCCTTCCATTATTTACTCTGTTAAAAATTGTGGCAACTCGAATGTGTAAATTTTAGTGTGAGATTTTACACTAATATTTTCGTTCTACAAGCACTTCGACTAATGTCGAAGGATTTATTGGGTTATGTTGATGATATTTTCAATAGTCACTAACACCAAGTCTTAGTTGTTTAAGTCTCTACACAATATTTGTTTACAATCATTTCTTCAGTGTGGTCTTACCACGGAAAATTAATTTCTCAGATATCGTTTTTTAAAATACAAATTGATTTCACTAATGTGACCGACTAATTAATAAGTTGGATATTTATTAGATGACTAGATAATTTTTCTAAACTATAAGTCCTTTTTTTAAGTTAAAGACGTTACAAAATGACATTACACTGGCACTAGGGTGTTGTTTTGTTTAAAAGAAACTGTTGAATAGCCTAATATTTTTGTGTTAGCTGTGATTTCATGTTTGTCGTTTTGGTCTCATTTTTACTACAAAGGCAACACTTCAACACTACATATCAACGTAATTGAATTTGAGAAAGATGATGATACAAATTTTCATATGGACTTCATCACCACAACAAGCAATTTAAGGGCCGAGAATTATGAAATCCCTCCAGCTGACCGACTAAAAAGTAAATTAATTGCTGGTAAAATTATCCCTGCAATTGCAACTACAACTAGTTTGGTGGCTGGGCTGGTATGCCTAGAACTATTTAAGGTTTGTAACTATATTTCACCATAATTGTACTTTTCTGTATTTAAGTGATTTGATTTTGTTTCTCTATGGCCAGTGTTATTGACAGACGGTGATAAGTTGTAAATTGTCAAGTGATTTGCTAAAAGCTGTCTTGTATATTGATCAAATGATATAATATGTAATTGTCTTTTAGTTGCAGAAACATTCTTCGTTACGGGATAATATGAAACAAAGTAGCTAACAATCAGAGTTACTTGTTAGTTATCGACATACTGTAACAATATTTCCATATCTAAGTTTTTTGCACTTAAGAGTCGTTTCCGTACACTATGTTGTGAAATCCTTACTAGTTGTAACTATTTGTTCACTTCATTTTTCATGTTACTTTTAGCTTGTTCAAGGACACAAAAATCTCGAACTGTTCAAAAATGCTTACGTCGATTTAGCGTTGCCCTTTACTTCATTTTACGAACCTGTAGCACCTATCAAGTCAAAATACTACGATACAGAATTTTCTTTATGGGATCGGTTCGAACTTTCAGGTCCTATGACCTTGCAAGGTCTAATCGAATACTTCAAAGTAAGTTTGCTTCTTCATATCCAAACTGATTCACTCTCGTTATTTTAGGATAGTTTGAAGTTGAATGTAACAATGCTATCGCAAGATGTTTCTATGCTCTATGCATTCTTCATGCCAGAAGCAAAGCGTAAGGAACGTCTAGTTATGTCGTAAGTTCATTTTATAGTTTTGTTTCATATTTTATGGATACTATAAATAACCGCATAGTATTTAGGTGACAGTTGACCAACGATGTATATCTTTTTTCAATTAAATAGTTCGAAAGCATTTTTTGAGCAGAGATGGATAGTAATGGTGGCCGTCAATGGAATAAAACTGCTAGCCACCACCCATCTCCCGCGAGAAAATGCTTTTGACTTACTTGCAATATCTAGGCAGATATACCCAAAAAGGCTGGTCAACTACAGTCCAAAACGTCAATGGGAAGATTCAAATAACCAATATATGTAGATTAAATGGTTCAAATTTACGAGATAAATTTGCCGCTAAATACAATATCAAATTGATTACTTGTAGATTAGTTGATGACCAAACAACTTTTGATGTGGTAGGTGTTGTTTTCGTTCCATGGGTTTCTCAGAGTGTATGGAGTACCATTGTTGTTTATTGGACACTACTTAGTTGTCGGAAACAAGAATTTAGATTGAAATGTTGGGAAAGATTTGAGCTCAGATGGATGATCTCAGTACAGTTTCGTTCTCTAATCTGGATGGTTTAGTTCTGGAGCTTTCGTTGTCCTTCTGGATAACATCAATAAATAATTCCGATAGAAGCAAAGTACTCGAATTTCTTCACATTTAATCAACATCACTAAAAACACAAATTTAAATTTTATTTTGCATGTAATTATTGCACTGTGAAATTTCAACAGCTTGCTAGTTAGCAAAATGGTTTTAGAAAATGTATGTATTAAATACTTGTTGTGTGTTGATTCTCAGCCACAGTTACCATGTGTAAATGAAGTGTTAAGTCCGGATACATATGAGCTGGATTGATACTTTTAATGACAAAGTGTAATAGTTAAGGAGTAAAATATGGTAGTACAGAAATACATCGTATTTTCGTCATATTCCTAGATTAAAAGGATTGGGCCTATTAGAAAGGTTGCTTATTCGTCAGTCAGTCATAATCAGCGCAGAACCTGGCATATTTGTATATCGGTTCAAGTTGCCATGCCCTATTAACACAGCAAGACAAAATCGATAGAACAAACCCTAGACTAGTAGAATTATTGACCATAATAATGGTATTTTAAAGGATTAGCTATCCAAGTTACAATTCAGGAAATAATTATAGATTAGTGGGATAATTTTATAAGGTAATCTAGAAACTTAGGAACTAAGTCAAGACAAGGAGTTAATGTCCTTGCGTCATTGGAAACGATTTAGAACACTGTCACTTAAAAGCCAACCATTGTTTACGATGATCAAGCCTACCCCAACCAAGTAGTCTACATTTACCTATATTAGTCAGTCGAACAGTCAATATCTTCATGGACTGATACCCAAGTCTTGGTTCGAACTCCGCTAGCTTCTAGAATACTACGCCATCCGTTATCGCTTATCGAGGTAGTTGGTGGATGAGGATACGGAACATATGTTCTCACCATCTCAGTAGATGTATATTCGCTGTATTATCTATCCATTAACCATCATTACCTTGTACTATGGGTATAACCTCAATTGCTATCTCATTGTCTTCAAAATATACGAACGCTTGTTTGAAGACACATTTAGTTGAATGTTAGTAACCTATAAATATCCTTTTCTAAGAATCACATTTACCGCCATGAAATAGATTGAAGCAATTTAGTTTTTAGTTCAATTGTTGTTCCTGTCTACCAAGGACAATCATTCCGAACCAGCCAACATTTCGCGAATATATTCTCTGTATATTTTCATATGTTTCACATATTTCTGTTCACTCAAAACCTATTTGACTAATACGTATAATATTATGGAGACTGACTGATGTATATGTGTGCCCGATCCTATGTTGTAGCCGACTAACTGACTGACGGATACGTATAATATCATGAAAGCATTGGTTAGGGGCTCAAGATTTTTATAATACTCAATCAAGTGTTATTATTAGTATGATTAACTTGTCTAAAGTTAGATGTTTCGAAGTATTTTTGTATATTAAACATGAACCATGTCTATCCTTTCTTTGAATGTTTTCATTTCAAATTAATATAATTACATCGTAAATCTTGGAGTAACATACAAGGAGCCCATGCCGCTAGTTTGTGGGGTGATCACTGCGTTCCCTTTCATTTTTACTTCAATGTTAAGTGATTAGAAAATATCAAAGTCCCATAGAATGATTACTCAGTTTTCTATTGCTTAAATGTGTATTTTTTTCAGATTGAAAGATCTGGTGGAAGTAGTCAACAAACGCAAAATACCTCCTCATGTCAAAGTACTGGTATTTGATGTCTGTTGCAGTGATGAGCATGATAAAGATGTTGATGTGCCATATATCCGCTATGTACTGGAACCAGCCAAATAAAGTTCATTTATTCATGTCTTTCTCAAATAACACAGGTTTCAAATTGATGATTACTCCTTTACGAAACCAAACTATTTTTCACCCATTTTAATTTATGGAATATTCCAAAGACAATATATGCTTTCCCTATTATTTGTGTACTAGCTGTGTATGAATTAACACGCAAATAAAATGAATAATTAATTAATTTTTATGTATTCTGAGAATACAGAAAGCTATGGACATAATCTTTTTACTCAATTTTACTGTATAACAATTTGTATAATCTAAGTTGATATTTATGTCGAGCATCTGTTTTTTCTCTGCAATCGACTCATTTTTCGAATAGAAAGCTTTAAAATATATGTTTACTTCCGGGTGATTTAACTTGATGGATTATTTTCTTTATCAGTTTTCTTTATTCAATGTTCTAATTTCGGAGTGTTAGTTATCAGCAATATTTACAAATACATGGTTTACGTTACTAGCAATTTACGTTGTGAACATCATATTTCCTACAATCTATACCGCGTGTTCTGTTTTAATTTATTGAATCCTTGCCTTTGTACTACCGAGGGTGGGGGAGAGTCACCTCTCCCTCTCAAAATACTCTCACGTGGCCACGCGTGTACAGCCACTACCAGGGAAATCCTACTCACTGCCTTCTCGCGGTGGGGTGTTGTTTACGGAATTGAAAGGACGAAAGAGGAGGTCTGGCGCTCCAACCGAGTTGATGGACGCGGAGGGTTTACCTAGGGCTATCGGAAAACCCTGGTTCTAAACCAATGGTGGACATGGACTCCAGTATCCTGAGGAAGCAAATGGCGTACGAACCAATTATTGGTCACCGACTATTATGAGACTGCATCTCCTGACGTTGCTCCAGGCGTCACCTAAGAAAACCATTTGCTTCGGTTTGGGCGCCAAGGCAGTATCACAACCCACACACAAATCATGTATGGCGCATAAGTATTCGGTGTTCCTTTGTACCAATATTTTTGTTTGAATCTCGCGAGGCGGCATCGTGGATGCACACTGCTGAGGCGTCCCACAATAAGAAGAAACGGCCTTCCAGGTTTTCCGCGATGGTCTAACTTCAATTGACTCATGATCTCAACTATTAAGATTACAATATTTGTGTTCAAATAAATAAAATAGCGCTGGTTAGTTTGTTGATGTAATATATGAACAGTGACGTTTTTCGAATTCTACTGAGCGAATATAAAAACGCTGTATTTCTTACTGCAGCGTCTAAGATCCGTTATTTTGAATGCTAGTGAAACTGCAGTTGTTCTTGATTACATATTTTTGAATCATAAACAAAGGAAACTAGTTATCAAAATAGTCACTGTCATCTGTAATTTTACTGAATGATCGGCATTATGAAATATTAGGAACATCTTAGATCTATTGAGTAAACTTTCTTAATGATCTGGGTATTACATATATCTGGAAATATCGGTGTTTCTTGCTTTATTCTGGTTATTAGTTGAACTTACGGTAGCAGCAAACATATTTGATCTACACTGGTTCGTGCATTGCTGTCACGACGAGGAGTCTTGGATTTTTAATTTCCTCTGAAAATGTTTTGAAGTACAGATTTTTGGTTAATCTCACTATGGGATCTCAATTTCTTCAATAGCACTATTTTGTACGTCAAACTTTGGAAATTAATTTCGGTTTTTGTGTTTCTAGTCTTAATCATTTTGATCCTGACTACCATTGTACAGCAGTGAGGTTTGGGTGAGTTATTACCCATATCATAAATCTGACCAATAGTTTTGAGCTGTTACATTAAGTGGGGAGTTATTGCTTTTCAATTACCCACGCTATGGAAGGATAATTCTTACTGAGGGACTTGGGAGTATAACTTCACATAACAAAAGCGTAGTTGGCTGACGTACTAGCTATGTATTTTCACCCTTCTCTGTCATCACAGAAACTAGTGGGACTAGGTGAGGTATGCTACTTTTGGGATTGATACTTGTAGAAGAGGATCCCGACATATATAAAACACCTTATTATCATTATGCTATAGTCATTGGCAGTACGACTTCGTTCTAAAATTTCGGTCATCCGCTACGAGATCTTGTATTTAGTTACAACTTCGTTTATTTTATCATATCTTCCTTTGGTTTTCAGTATCTTGTATAGCCTCAGCTGTGATAGATCAGTACACTGCATTACAAACGATGTGATCATACGTTACCTTCTTATGATGTTTGTATTGGAAAGAAAGTCAAATCAGGTGAGTGAGAGTCTGATAAGCGTTATATCTAGAACTTAGATTCTTAATATGCCGCGTATATGTGGAGCACTCGCACGCTAGAACCCTCCAAAGTCGCAAATGAGAAGACAAATGAAAAGAATGTTATTGAGATGGTGGAGAAGATTTGTAGCTCAGGTGGATGATTTTGGTGGAGTTTTGTTCTCTGAGCTGGATGGTTTGATCGTGGAGCTTTCATCGTTCTTCTGAACGATAGAAGAAGGACTTCTATCTGAAGTTTGTGCTGATATTGTCGTTCAGAAGAACGATGAAAGCTCCACGACCAAACCATCCAGCTCAGAGAACAAAACTCCACCAAAAGGAATGTTATTCTAAACAGTGTCATTTGTGGTGCGAAACTGTCAGGTATATATCGTTTCTAGAAAAAACGAAATCATCATTATAGTTATCCGATCTGCCCCCAAATGCCCTGGTATGGCCGAGAGTGGGGTGGGCCCGCTCTCCCTCTCGAAATGCTCTCACACGGCCACGCGTATACATCCTCTGCCAGGGAAGTCCTACTCACTGCCTTCTCATGGCGGGGGTGTTGTTTACGAATTGAGAGGACGAAAAGAGAATGTTCGGCGCTTCAACCGGATCCGAAACCAATGGTGCACGTGGGCTACAGTATCGTGCAGGAACAAATGGCGTATGAACCAATCGTTGGTCACTGGCTACCATGGGACCGCACCTCCTCACGATGCTACATTGCCTTGTGGGTCAGACCTTTAGGTCAAAGGCTCGGGATTTGGCCCCCTACGAAAACCACCTGCTTCGGTATGGGCACCCGGGCAGTAACCCAGCCCTCACACAAATCGAATGATTTGTGTTTCGCATATCTATTTGGTGCCTTCTTGTACCAATGTTTATGTGCTTAAATATATAATAATAAAGTTATCCGATCCACACACAGGGGGTTGTTAGTATCCGTACAATAGGGAAGCTACATGTAGGGTTTCTGGAATATTCTTCCAAAAGATGACTGGATGGAATATCTTCGGCTCTTTCTAAGCTTAGAGCCTCCTCGAGTTCACCCGTGAACCGTCCTTACACCAACTCTTTAAGTCTGTTGTGTAAGACTTTTTTCTCGGATCCACCTGAAACTTTGTTACCGCATACCTCTTGCGGTTCATCACTCTCAAAGGTTGTACAGCCTTGCCCGTGCGTCTTTTATCTCTTCTACATTCGTGCTCCTGAGGGCTTTTTCGAGATGAATCCACGAGCAATCCAAACCAGCATCGCTTTATGGGATCAGTGTTCTATCGTCCCTTTGAATTGGATTTATATGTCTTATACACTTTCCGACATTTCTCTGGTTTAGGTACAGCACACTTTCGATCCGACATTCTATAATACCTGGTTCCCATTTCGTATTACCTTGATACGATTTGACAAGTGCGGAGTACAAATCAATGAGAGGAAAAGAAACCACGTATTCATTAGGCTGAGTGCATGTGCGTCCACCCTGTGAGCAATCATACTTTACTTCCACTACTGCATATCATTATATTTCTGACACTGATACAAAGTCATTGGGGAATGCTGATTCGTTAGTAGTTTATAGTTAAACAACAACGATGTAGGCTTGAGAGTTACATAGCCTCAAGCTGTTATTTCCTATGCCCTGTCAAATATCATGTAACAAATCAACAATTAGGATACCGACTTCTATGTCCTTGTTCCACAATAAACCAATAATACATTAATCAGCACTAGCGGCTTTGTGTGAACTCTTATTGGTCTTCTGAATGGTAACTTCTTGCCTAACCCAACCCGTTCAGTTCAGAACAAAAATAATAGCTCCCACCATACTAATCGTATATTTTAGATACATATGGTTTATATACAAGCAGACTAGACCTTATCACACCATAAGATGACAGCTAATTATTATACCAAGATCAAGCCAAAAATGGCTGTGAGTATAGGAGACCTTATTTAATAATTTGGGAATAAATTAAGAATGGTAAATGGTATGACTAGCCAATAGGTCAGACGAAAGCTTATGATAAGAAGATATATATAGTTAATAATTATTCATTAAGAATGTATGAAATAATAGTCCATAAATAACTTCTAGCAGTTAGCATTCATTTATTCTTCGCTCTGATATAGCAACCCTTTTCGTAAACAAATCAATTTCATATATGACTTTAAGTAACACTAATTCCATCAGTACAACCTGAAGTTAGTAATCAAAGAACTTTGGAGTGGCTTAATCATTATTATGGTAATGACTAGACGTAGATTGATTAGCAGCATTTCTATACTTGAACTGTCTGGTCCTACACAGCTTGTAATAGTAACTACTTTCAGAAGTAGTTTCTTTATCAACCGAAAAACATTTATAAGAAATCAACGAAAACGAACACCATATTTTTATTTAACCAACTGCTAACTGAGTACAGAAGCAACTGTTGAAAAGTATAATTTATTAAGCTTTTAAAAACATAACGAGACTGGATTTCATTTTACAGCACATTTATTGGTCCCATATTTACAAGGTTTTACTTAAGGGTTATCTAGATAGATCCTCTCTCCTGAGAATTATCTCCATTCCGAATTTTTGAAGTGAAAATGTCGTTGACAGTTATCGGTTTACAGGTAATCTACGTGAAAAAATCAATGCACATTAGTGAATTAAACTGTAGTGTATTTTTTATAACTGTTCCTTTATATAAAACTTTAGGAGTGATAAAGAGGCTGAATCGGTGACTTTTCCTAACATGTCATTTAGGTTATGAATGCAACAACTTATCATTCTATCTAAGTATCTCACTTATATATATATATAATATTCGATTGTTTTCAAGGTTTTAATTAAGCTTTGAATTTTACTAATTCACATCAGAACGTTTTAAAAAAATATCAGTGTCAAAACCTGTTTTATAGTGAAATTTATTTTTATGGCCTAGATTCATAGTCGAAAAATACTACTCATAGTGAAATGTAAATAAGCAGTAATCATATCAATAGAAAAAGTAGGAAATTATATAATCATTTTAATTCGACAGGATGTTAAGTATACGATTAGGAACATGAATAATTATTGAATAGTCTGTTTCGAAATGAAATAAATACATTAATACATTAATTTGCCAGTTCTTCACACTTTATGGATTAAATAAAAATATTATAATATCAAACCATCTTAAAACTTTTAGGTATAAGATTTTTTGACGAGCAATTAGACCCTATCTCTATTCAAACTGTTTATTTAACAT